ACAATAGACTGCATTAAGTAAAAAAATTATATATATATATATATATATATATATATATATATATATATATATATATATATATATATACATATATATATATATATATACATATATATATATATATACATATATATATATATATATATACATATATATATATATATATATATATATATATATATATATATATATGTATATATATGTATATATATATATATATATTAATATTGTTTCCAAAATTAATTTTAATAAAAGTTAACTATTTATATAATAAAACAGAACATATTTTACTATTATTTTAGACAAAAATATTAAGCTACATTGTCATGATAATTATAATAATTATTTATTAAATTAATTAATAAAATTTAAAAGGTTGGAAAATAAAAATGAAAGAAAAAAGTGGAAAATCAAAGGAATAAAAAAAAATAGTGATTATATCGGCTAAAGTAATTGCGACAGTTCGCCTTAACTGTCGCGAAACTGTCGTGAGTGTGGAAAGATGGCGGTTCTTTGGTAACTGTCGCAATTAGTTTATACAACATGCCTAAAAAATCTGCGACGGTTGGCTCAAACCGTCGTGAGAACTGTCGTAGTCCAGGAATAAGGACGGGTTTTTTATAACTGTCGCAAAAAATCTACGACAGTTGACCCTAACTGTCGTGACAACCGTCGCAATCCAGGAATAAGGACAATTTTGTGATAACTGTCGCAACTCAAGTGTCGTAAATCACCGTTTTTCTTGTAGTGAAAATTGACATTGTTATTCTTCAAACACTACACTTTGATTTTGACAACAATAACATGTTCAAAGTTTTAAAAACACACAAGTATGTTCCGGGATATTTTTGAGTTTAATCCATTAAGTATTAATAGAAACTCGTTTTGTTTACCAAATTTCCAAAACAACGGCTAAAATTATTAAGGAATGTACTACCAATGGGTATCCATGATTCATGGCTCAACCTCGTACCATTATTATAGCTAGGAAATTGATTGAGTTTCAAATTATATCCTCCAATGGTACTATTCATTATCTATATAAAGAATACAAAGGAATTGTAAAAAAAAAGAACATACAACGACAAAAAGAGAAGAACAACAATTACAACACTCACTACACTTAGAGCTTTTCATTTGTATATTTTTCTTAAGTGTAAAGAAGCATTCTTGTAAACACATACTCTTTATATTGGAAATGACCTCTAGTCCAGTACTTCAAAAAACCACTTGTACAAGAGGGAGCACATTCCTCCGGGTCCAAAGACGAACAAAAGGTGAAGTGCACCTCATGAGTAATAGGTTTTACCAGCATGAAACCTTCAAGGAAGTCACCCTAGTCATCAATGAAAGAGCCAAACCAAAGGATCCAAGGGCGAAGAAGATTAATCCCTGATTTTGACTACCAGCTCAAGAGGTGTAGCCCATGTAAAATAAATAAAATAGAGCTCAAGAGAAGGTTCCCAAGACTTGTACTCAACACAAAGTTGGAACACTTTCATAAAAGTCCAAGCTCCGAGATGAAGTTGCGAGGCAGAAACTCTTAAACAATTCATCACTACCACTTCAAAACCAGAAAAGGGAAAACATATACTCAAACTGATGAGAGTAATTCATACAGAAGAAATGAACAACTTCCAAAAGAGTTGCATATCATTTATGTCGAACTTACTAGAATAATTAACCAATCGAAGGGCTTACCAATAATAATTTTAGAATTTGCTATAGCCTCGTCAATGTTTACGGAAGAAGCAGTTCCTCCCACTTCGGAGGCCACCCAAAAGCATTTATTGGTGTTATCTGACTCAATGAACTAAAGTCTCATTCGGGCCAGTTGACCTTCTTTAAAGTAACCATCAGGGATTACCCAAGACACAATGTTACTGCCTATGCTCTAAATGGCGTGCGACTTCAGCGTTGTTGGGCTCATGACCATTTATTTATATATAGAGAAAAATAAGCTGCCATTGTGTTCCTTCTTATTATAGACATCTTCTATTTCGATCTCGGTCTAGTCAGGAGGAGGTAGTGAGTTCTCAACAGAACTCCCACACCCATCGACTTTATTTGATAATATGCCTCTGAAGGATCTAAGGACGAAGATTAGTCTCCAGACACCCACTCCATTTCTGAATCACCAACCATAGAGACAATCTTAGGTTTAAAATCCCCAGAAGCAGAAGAAAGTGATTGTGATTCAAACTTCATTCCCTTTTTAAAGAAGGAGCATTACTATTTTTTAGATCATTCTCTATGATAATAGGGTTATAACTCATTTTAATAAAGAAACAACAAATGCTTGAATGAAAAGATGAAGCAAAGAAAAGGCGCCTTTATATGTAAGGTCAAAGGCAATAAAGCGAAAAGAAGGCTGGAAGTCAAAGCTTTGGAACTTTGGGGCTTTGAATGCGCGTTGACAGTTACTTCTAAAAAAATAGTCTCAAAGAAGAGGGAAAAACTCAGAGAAAACAAAGAAGACTCAATTTACAAGACTTCAAAAAGGTTTCTCCACATTCCCTCTAACCTTATATAAGCAAAGGCAATCGAGTGAATCAGATTTAAAGTAAAAAGAAGGTGAAAATCAAAGGTTTGATTTCACTTGGGAAACATGACTAAGATCAAGTGCATAGTAAGTAGCATAAAGCTACTCTTTACCTTTTCAAGTCACATGTCAAGAGAAAAATAGTGAAACACTTCCATGTGGGACTACATTTAATGCTCAAGTTCCCCATTACTCCTTAGGAAAACCCAAGAGACGCGTTCCTACTAATGCACAGACAATCATTTCTGAGGGTCGGCCACAACTACTAAAAGACTCCCTCGATACCCAGATTTCCTGGCGAGTCTTATGAGAATCTGTTCTATGCGAGCCAAAAACTCAATAAGATAAGACCCACTTACTCTTCCCGCTCCATTGAGCCCATGATATAAATACCTTAACAATGAGTTTTCATGTACGCAATCTCTAATCTTCACTTTCACAACAAATATCTTGAACCTTAACTGACTTGGGCATTGGAGTACTAACCATGCAGGTGCCCCCATCATAGGTCCACCGTATTGAAGATAAGCTATGACGGTTCAAGATCAACCTCATTGATTCCTAGAGCATAGGGATCGCAACTTCTAGTCTAAAGTTTGATCTGTATCACCGAATCGCTTAGGAAGCTTCGCTCCATCGCCGTAGTTTCGGCAATCTCGTTAATTTCTGGTTCCGCAACAGAACAATTATATATATATATATATATATATATATATATATATATATATATATATATATATTAATATATATATATATATATATATATATATATATATATATATATATTAATCACTTCGATATTTTCAAAACCAATAGGAAAATATGTGTGTTTTCAATTCAATATCGAATTGTTATTGATAGATTCAAACTCATGAGTAGTACAATTTATCTCTCAACGCATGTAAAATAGAGGAGAAAAGTATCAACTTTTTATGATGCCTTTGGTTAACTCGTCTATCAAATTATAGTAAAATCTCGTTTTCAATTGAAGTAAAACATGTTATTCGTAGTAGTGATAAAATGTGTTATTTGTGTATTTCTAGACACTCTTATCTTAATATACTTTCTAATAGATATATGATATTTCTTGTGATTAAGTTTAGTATATAACCACTTAAATTTGTGTGATTCCTTTCATATATTACTTGATTTTACAACTTAAATTTGATCTCTGCTGCGTCCTTGAGATATCTTGAAGTACAAGAGCTACAACTTGACTGACATGTTTTTATATTAAAAAAATAGTGATGTGTTATCTTTTAAAAAATGTTGCATATGACATCATGCGTAATGATTAATAGAATTAAATTGCAAAAAAACCTCAAACAAAAAGGTAAATTAGTCTATGCCTATTAGAATTACGTTGCAGCGAATCTTGAGACTCAACGTAATTAATGTGTTAATATACATTGGAAATCAATAATGACTTTTGAAGTACGATAAATGTAAACAAGAGGAACAAATGTGTTTAATGTATTCTTAAGCAAGTTTGCCATATATAAATTACATGAATGTGTTAGAGTATTCAAACCATATCTCACAACATGGCTTCTCATTTAAAAGGTGTTGCAAAATCAACTATGTCAGATAAAATATGTAAGGAGTTGTGTGAGTACAAGAGAGATAATCCTGCAAGCACACAAAAAGACTTGTAGAGGTGGCTTGAGGGAAAATTTCAGTTGAAAGTTAGTCAAGGAATAATATCAAACACACTTAAACGGTCAGATGACTATCTCTCTGCTGAAATAGAAAAGGGAAGAGCAGAGATCAAAAGACACAAACCAACAAAATATCCTGACATGGAGAAGGTTGTTTATGAGAGATCAAGAACGTATGAATATCACAGGAGAATTAATTTTGCAGAAGGCAAGAGATATAATGAAACTCGTGTACCCTCATGATGATTCAGATTTTAACTTCTCTATAGGATGGCTTGGGAAATTCAAGAACTGACATGGCATAAAGTCATTTGTCGTTTTGGCAAGAGTGGGTTTGTTGATGTACAAGACATGGAGCAGAAATTGGTACCGATTAGGGAGAAAATTGATTAGTTCCCTATGAAAGATGTTTTCAATATGGATGAAACTGGGTTATTTTATAGGATACAAGTTGATCATTCACTGGCAATAAAACAACTTGAAGGAAGAAAACAAGATAAAGAAAGGTTGACGGTAGTTATTTGTTGCAATGAAGATGGCTCTGAAAAATCCTTCTATAGATTATTGGGAAATATGTAAAGCCCCGTTGCTTTAAGAATGTCAACATGAATAGCTTGGATTGTCAGTATCGAGCTAACAAAAAAGCATGGATGACTAGTGTGTTTTTTGATGAATATGTTCATTGATTTGACCAAATGATGCATGGTAGAAGAGTTCTACTTGTGGTGGATAATTATCCAGCACATTCAAGAAGTATTGAAGGGCTAAGAAATGTTGAGTTATTCTTCTTGCCACCCAATATGACATCAAAGATTCAACCTTGCGATGTTGGGATAATAAGAGCTTTCAAGATGAATTACCGTAGAAGGTTTTACCGCAAAATATTGAAAGGTTATGAGGTGGGAAAATCTGATCCAGGGAAGATAAATATCCTTGATGCTATCAATTTGGAAATCCTAGCTTGGACAATAGATTTTCGAAAAGAAACAATAGCGAATTGCTTCCGACACTGTAAAATTCGTTCAACTAGTGATGTTGTAAGAAATTTGGATGAATCCACTTTTGATGAAGAAGCTCAAGACCTCGAGACTATGATCAAGCAATCTGGCTATCATAGTAAGATGGATATCGACAATCTAATGAACTACCCAGGTGAAAGTGAAGCATGTTCTTAGGTTCAAAGTTTAGAAGATATTGTAGGTACTATTATTGAGAACAATGCAGAGGATGACAGCGAAGATGATTACGGTGTCTTTGGAGCCTGTTACGCAAAAGGAAGCACTTATGGTGTCGAAAACTCTTCACAACTTTATGATACAATACAAAAACACAACACCTGAGCTATTGGATGCAATAAGAAAAGTTAGAGATGAGCTCCAAGTAGACTTGAACTTTAAAGGAAAACAGACAACTATTGAATCATATTTCAATAGAGTGTAATATATTTTTTTCAGTTTCTATGAATTATTAATTTATGATTTTCTTGGGACCGAAAATTATAAAGGGATCTCCCAAAAAATTATTATCTTATTAATTTATCAAGTTTTTCAATTTTTTTCATTGGCCCAAATCGGGACCGGACAAATTTATTATTTTAGAGAGTTTATTAATTTACTGAGTATTAATTTAAAGAGTTTCTACTGTATGTTGTTAATTTTTGCTTAGTTATATAACTTTTTATTGAGGTATGTTGTTGTTTTTATATAGACAGTATGCTTTTGTCTGTGTTATCGTAGATTTTTTTGTTGAGGTATGTGGATGTTTTTGTCTTATTAAGGTAAATAATTGTTTTTGTTGATAGATGTTGTTTTTTGTATTACTGTACATGTTTTTTTGCGTAGGTATGTTGATGTTTTTATTGATATATATTGTTATTATGTTAAGATAAATTGTTTTTTTTGTTGATAAATATTGTCATTTATATTATTGTAGATGTTTTGTTTATGTGTGTTGATATTTTTGTAGAGTTATGTTGTTGTTTTGTTAAGGTAAGTTATTGTTTTTTATTTTATGTTATATGTTTTTGTTGTGGTTGGTTGAAGTTTTTATTGAGGTGTTTTTTTTTTGTTAAGGTAATTTGTTGTTTTTGTTGATAAACGTTGTTGTTTGTATTATTGTAAATATTTTTGTTTAGGTATGTTGATGCTTTTGTTGAGGTATGTTGTTACTTTATTAAGGTAAGTTGTTATTTTTATTATTGTAGATGTTTTCATCGTGGAATTTTGATGTTTTTGTTGAGATATGTGGTTGGTTTGTTAAGGTAAGTTGTTGATACTTGTTTGTGTTATTTATGATGTGTTTGTTAGGTATGTTATTTTTAATATTATTCCTTATACATTGTAAATTTCATTTTATTAAACTAACATGTCATAAAAGACGTGTTTATGATATTATACGTGGTTTCAGTATTTTACCAACTCCTCACTGAACATATTACCATTCAAATTGAATTAGAAAATGATAATATAAAAAATTAAGTTATATTAGAAAATTATTTACATAGATCAATGTTTTTCAAGATTTTTGCAAACCATTATTTGTATCTCGCTCATTGTCGATTATAATTTAGTTCAATACTTTTAGTTCTTTAGCCATCACTTCCTTTATACTAGTTTTGTTTGCAAAGTTAATACTTTGCAGAATGAGCTAGTAGATAAGAAAATCTTAGTTGAATAATGAGAAGCATTAAACAAATTATAACTGTTAATGAGTGAGATAGGGATAATGAATTGCAGAATTCTCAAAAAACATTGATTAGTGTAACTTGTTCTTTTAATATACTTAATTTTCCTATTATTAATTTATAATTCAAATTGAAAGGTTATAGGTTTAGTGAGCAGTTGGTAAAATAAGTATTTCACATAAGTTATAATAAATTCAAGTGAATATATCACCACGGTTGGAAGATATAATCATGGTGAAATATTATGCACTACCTTTTGTCGCTGGATATCGAACACAAGATCAAACAACTTTTACTACAATTATTTTTTCCAACTGTGGTGATAAAGAGGGTGCATATTACTATATTTTTTGTTACCATAGACATCTAATCATGATAAAATTCTTCTCTCAATTGTTGTAAAATTTTACTTTTACAGGAGTGAATTTTGTGTGTGTGTGTGTGTATGTGTGTGTGTGTGTGTGAGCCTGTGCGCACGCGCATGCATGTGTGAATATATAGATTAAAACCTTTATTATAACATGGAAAGGGCAAGAAACAAAAAAAAAATTGAAATATTATAATGAACTCTAATGTATATTTCAAAGAGAGAATATATAAGAGAACATATGACACATATTGAAATATTATAATGAACTCTAATTGAAATTTTATAATGAACTCTAATTGAAATTTTAAAGAATGTAATTTTTCACACTATAAAATCATTATACTAATGTATATTTCAAAATGCAAATGAGAGAACATATGACACAGATTGTTAAGAATGTTTATCTCATAATTATTTTTCTTTTCATATTCGTTGTTGTAACCGATGATAAGTTCAACTTTGAAATTTATTTTGAAAATTAATTCTTAATTTTTTATAAAATACTTTTTTTTTTAATTTGACATCACAAGAGTTCTTAAATGTCGCTCTAATAAAGATTGTCGTAAACAAATGTCTGATTGCTGGCGACCTAAACTTCCAAGATGCATGAGAAACACATGTGAATGTTGGTAATTGTAGAAATAAAGTTCAAAAATAATTCCATATATTTGCAACTATAATGTTGATACTTTTATAATTTTTCAAACTTCAACCTATTTTCTCTTAACAATCTAATAAATTTGATCCACTCAAATACTTATTATTATATTATGCTAGTACTGTTACATTAGTTAACTTTTAGAAATTAAAATATCCAATTTGTTATGATAAATTGAATTTGATGAAATAATTATCTTTATTATTTAAAAAAATAAATAGTAAAATAAAAATTCTCAAGAATCTTTTTTTTCTTTAAATATGTTGTTGTGAATGAATACTTTATTAGACACATTTATACTAAGAAAATGCATATCAACTTTATGCACTATTATAAAAATGAGTTTTTACTTCGATTGAAGCAGAGTTTTGGGTGGATAGTGTAACGAAGGATGTCATGGAATGTACACTACTTTTTGTATATAGTAATTTCAACCAAAGTGAAAAGTGGCTTTAATCATATGGGTTTGATTTCTAACAATAGCATTTTCAAAATAGTGTGTTTAACTCTTTCTTTCGATTGAGAGATCCAATAGAGGTGAAATGTAGTGCCCCACTTATCCTTTCGGTTTAGACTTTTTAACTGAGCGATAGGTCTTAGTGGGTCCCTTTCCCCATGGTTAGCTCTGTTAACCAAGAGGAAACCTAATCTATCTTCTATAATTATCGTGTTCTATCTATTTTTCATTGAACGAAATTCATTATGAATCAAATTCTTCATCATCTTCCTCATCTGTTTCTCCAACACTTTGATTCATATGCAAAGCCGTAATTGTTCAAATTGCAGTGCGTCCTCATTTGCAATCCATATTGCTTCCTCATACTCCGCTATTTTCCTCCTCAATTCTTCCTCCATTTCCTCCATCTCTGCTTGTCTAGCTGCTGCTTCGCGTGCTACCTGGGTCTGCGTCAAATTTCTCATAGTTTCAAGTATATCAGCGGTTAATATAGGTGGGCGTGATGATCCTTCTTCATCATCAAGTCTCATTCTAAAACTCCTATCACGCAGTTTAATTGTTTTGGCATACCATCCAACACCATACACCCTCCCATTTTACCTCTTCCTACGAGCAGCATCATACCAAGTCCGAAAACCTAGAAAAGGATCAACAAGATATCCCTGTGGCGGTGGAGGTAACTCATGATGCTCAAATAAAGAAAGTGCAAGTTTTCTATCATACTCCTCTTATAAAAAATAAATAAGTTAGATGTTATCATAATAATTTAAATAAGATAGGTACATAAAAGAAAGAAATAAAATGACTAAATTTTAGAAAAAACTTACTTGAGTGTCCTTTGAGCGTTTATCGACAAACTCCCCATTTTTCTTGATATGAGTCTCTAGATGGATCTCATTAAGAATCGGAGTTCTACCCAACTCATCACGCTAATAAAATAAAACATAAGTGAAAAAGTAGTTAGTTTTAGTCTAAATTTTAAATAAAAATTTAAGTAACATAAATAAATTTACCAGCCTGTGTGCAATTTCAGAAACATTAATGCTGTCTACTGCGTAGTTGCAGCCATCAACTTCAGATGTCGTGTTTTTTTTTGCTATTTCATATACTTGCTTAAAAGTTTCAGAATTCCAATGGTCAATAAGTTGCTTAAATACATCTTCACCTACCCAACAGGGACATTTTCCTTTTTTTCCCATTTAATTCGAACATGCCTAAGTGTGTCGGATAATCGGGTATCACATTTCGTATCAAAATGTTCTCTTACTTGTTGCTGCTTTGAAAAGTCTCAAACACATTTCTCCTACATTATTTTATGAATTTAAAAAAGATCAAATAATGTATAATCATGAAATAAACTAAATATAAAGGAAATTAAAATAATAGTTACTTTTTTATACCTAAAATAAACTAAACCAATCTTCCTTCTCTTTTTCGAGAAGTGTTCCATATGTCGCCCAAAACTTTTTATTCTTTTTTTTAATAACTTCTGTTATACACGATATTACCTGGTGTGATGGTATAAGGCTAAACAACAAAATCTTGAGTTAGTATTAACATTAAAAAAAAACTCAAATTTAAATTTAAAAAATAATAAATAAAACATACCTTCCTCCATCACAGTGAATGGCATATCTGCCCTAGTATTTCTTAATTGTTTGGAGCTTTGCAAATAATGGATAAAATGTTGCATGCTAGATCCACCATCATTCATATATGACATAAAATACTTCATGGAAAGCTAGGCCCGCTCGACTGCATGGAAGGCATCAGAAATCTAGGCCCGCTCGATTGTATGGAAGGCATCATAAAATATGTGGGGTGCGGGATGCTGGGATGCATAATAGGTTTATATCCAGGAGGACTAATAAAGGTCAACGCATATATCATTGGGAATGAAGAAAAATCAGGTGTGGATAGTAATCCCGTGAAAGATTCACCAGACATGGGTGAAGTCTACATAGGCAGTGGAGCAGGGTGCACAAGCGGTGGAGTAGGATGCACCTAACCGGAAAGTGGCATAGGAATAAACATAGACGAATAAAGAACCTATTCTACAATGAACCTTGTGTGGCGAACCTTACCCTTACCCTTTTCCTCACTTCGGAGTGGCATTTTTAAACTAAAACATTTCATAAAACATAATAGTAAATTAATTCAAGCAATTACACAATAGTATTATTACAAACATATTACACAATAGTATTATTACAAACATATTACACTATAGTATTATTACACAATAGTATAATTACACAATTTATATTATTTA